GTCATCTCTGTCACTGATTTTCGAAGATTTTGCATTTGATTCACTAAAAAAAGTAATAAACGTTATATCATCCTGAGTATTCATCAATTTACCTGACATTCCTGCCAACTTCATGTGGAGAGCCTCTTCCCCAGCTTCATCATCATCTTCACCACCATCAGCATCCGGCTCTTGTTTCGGTTCAGCAGGCTTTTGTTTTTCAGGTTTTTTAGCTGTCAAAAAGTTTTCCAGATACTCGAAATTCACATTTTTAACTACCTTTCTTCTTCTTTTTGTCTTTCGACTTCTTACTTTTCTTTGTTTTCTTCTTTTTTGCTGTCCGTTTCGCCTTATCCGCCTTCTTTCTCTCTTTTCTTCTTCTGAAATAATTTTTTTTCAAAAACAATTCGAATGTATAAATCTTCAAGTCTCACTTCTGAGCCTGTTTAGTTTTTCTTTTCTTCATCTGAGTTTTTCTTTTTGTGGCTTTAGTTTTTGTCTTATTTGCCTTGTTAACTTTCTGTTTTCCACCATGACTCGGACGTTTTTTTGCTACGGTTCCTTCTGAAAAAATATGTTTTCAGGCAGTAATGACGAGTACAACTAACTAGATTTCTTGGCAGGCATTTCTATTGAAAATGGAAAAAAATCCGTGGAATCAGATTAGATGAATTCACGCACGTATCAGAGGGTTCCAAATCGCACGTTCAGAAATCGCGCCCCAGCGAACGTGAGATTGGGGCTTCTTTTTTTTCGTTGGCTGAGTATCAAACGTTGATTAAAAACACACAGCTCAAACCTACGTTCATTTGGAAATCATTCGTATGACCTGAAATCTATCTTGGCACGTGATTTTTCATCAGGCGTTTTTGAACCCTGTAATGTATCCCTAAAACCTGAGATAATTATTTTTATAGATCTGAGAGTTCAACCCCTTCAAATGGGGTCACCAATTCAACCAGGAATAACAGTAATGAACACTTTCTTCATATCCGAACAAAGCTTTCCAAATGAGGATCAATGAAATTGAACACATCTTTCTTTTCTGAAGGACATTGCTATCAACACTACCTTTATAAAAGTTGGATATGCCTGAAATTTTCAATAAAAATTGCATGTTTTTATTATGCTTGTTGACTTAATAAAATTTATTGAACATTAAATAATCCAATAAAGAAGAAAACAAAAAGCACTCCTAAACAAGAGGATGAACTGGCCACCGTGTATCTAACTAGGAATCCTGTTGATCGTTGTGGTAAACTATATACGATGTATTGTTGATAAGTAGATACTGATGTGAATGAAGTGTCGGAAGCGGTTAATCTGAATACACATTTTCATTACCATATAGAATATCAGCTCAACTTACTTTGTCGTCTTATTTTCATTGTACTTGATTTCCTGTTGAACTTCGAAAGACACATCTGAGGCCATTTGAGCCACTTCGTATGTTACAATAATGTTTTCTTTTGTATTCTCGCTAGGATGTTGGATCAAGTAATTCATAAATGTGACATTGTTGGGGCTAGCGTATGGGAACGCATTATTCATTATCACACCTTGCTGTCCAATCTTATGGTAGAACGATGTTGGGACTGAAAAGGAAAAATGACGGAAAAAGTTTGAAACTGGATAACTGACAGGTATTTGAGAATGTCCATTGAACAACACCCTTGGTCAGAACGGCTGTTTTGCAGCGCCCGTAAATCCTCAAATTGTCCCAGTTGCCGGCGTTTGCAGGACTGAAACAAGAATTTCTATATTAATCATAACATTTTCAATTACGTAATAGTTGCTATCCGTTTTGACTCTTGTGCATTAGTAACACATCCAGCATACACTTTCAACTCTCCATCTCCTCTCTGAAACTTGGAAAATATTCTAGTTATTGAAATTTTCAAAACTTACAAATGATATTTGCTGGTACATAGATGGTGTATATGATCCCTCGTTGAGTTCACTGGAAATCTCATGGAAAACAGTTGGTCCATTGGTGGCAGTCAAGTACTGTTTTGTAGTGTTTCTTGGTAATGCTGACACGGAAACTGGGTTCTCACTCCATTCTTAAAACTTTAGCAATTACAAACTTACGGAAAAAAACAAGAACTACCGTATTTCTCTGAAATTAGAACGGTGAAAATGTCAACAGTAAATGGGTTGGTGTTGACAATAGCAAATTGTGTTCCCATGCAAGTAGTTTGAGATGCGTAGACATCATACAAACTGAAATAAATAATATATTTTTGAAGCTTGGATATTGGAAACTCACCTGCCCTTGTACAGTCCAGAATCATAAACATGGATTTTCGACAAACCATCGAAAAATAAGTTGATATCGGTGAATATCACAATTTTGATGCTGTAACTTGCAGCTTGAGGGTTTTCAGCGTCATAGCTTTGAAGGATACTACTGTTTCCGCGAATATTAAAGGAATCGATCAAAGTTCCAATATCCTTCTGAACAAGGAAAGTTTCTCCAGTAGCTGCCGGAGTTGCTGAAATACTTTTATTTTGATAATTTTTTTGATAGTAAAAATTATTACCATCGCGTACTCTAATATCAATAACAAATGTGTCACCAGCGGTTTTCTTTGGAAGGTTGATTTCAATTGTGAAATTCAGAGGAGCCAGTGTATATCCAATAGTTGATTTTATGCTGAAAAAAAAAACTTTTGAAAAGGCGATTTTTGGAAGAACACTCACTCATATGTTTTTGTTCCTCCCCACTCGCTGTATTGTTTCAGTGTGATTTTATTATCACCAGTTAGAGCTACATTCAACAACACAGTTGGTACGTAATTTTTTGGTACAGAAAACTGGAAAAAATTTGAAAATTCAAAATATAACAAGATTCGAAAACCTACTGTATATTTACAAGTTTTACTTGTCAGGTCATTTTCATCGGATAAAATTTTGAATGAAGTATTAGTTGGAGTGAAATTCACTTCTTGGCTTGAACATTCTGAAAATCAAGAATTCACACAATTATTTTTTGATAAAGTAAAAAAAAAACTCACCCAAAGAATAAGAATACCCAAAAAGAAGAAAGAAAACCGGAACAAATAAAGAATGCATTTTGGAAAAGAAGACAAAAAATGGGAGAAAAAGCGTTCTCAATGATTATAAATGTAGATTCACAGTCGTCATTAAATATCGATTAGAGGCGTCAAACGCAGTTTGATAATAACCTCTCAAATTTAATCTTCTAAACTTTTCCGTTTTCAGACAAGGGGTGAAAGTTTGCATAGTGATTAATATGGAGGAAAAATGTTTTAAAAAACTACGGGCAATCAGAAGATAGGTGTGTTTGTATATGATGACATTATGACGAGAGACAGAGAAAAGTTGAACATGTAGGGAAAGGAGGCCTAATGATAACTGAAATAAGAATAAGAATAAAGTAGAACAGTAATAGCCATGTTGGAATTCTGATTAGCTGTTAATCTATCATTGAAAAAATAATCAGGTATCTTTTTGACTCATTCATGTATGATTAAGCAAATAGTTGCCCTGCTACAAAGTACTAAAACGGTACCGCATGGATAATGACGTTTCAATTTTCATTTTGTTTAACTATAAAATTTGATTTTCTCATGGTTTGAAACTTTGCAAAAATGTTATCATCGTTGTCTGAAAAATGAAGGTTGAGATGCAGAGGAAATGTGCCTGCGACCTTATCTGTCTTGTTTTGTTATTCGCTTCGAGATACTCTCTTAAACAATTCGCCATATATTTCTCTCTAATCTTTTTTTCAGATAGCAACATCCAATTTTTGCTTTTGAAAGAGTGGTTGAGGGATATTTAGCTTCTCGAAATCAAAGTATTTCTAACATTTTTGGAAAATGTTTAAAAGTCGTGTATGCTTATTTTTCACTTGTTGGCTGTAGAAAATCTGTGAAAAATAACGAGTTTTTAGCAGTGGTATACAATGGAAGAGTGGAAGTTTTCTAGTCCGCGGCCATCAAAACTTAAATTTTGTTGTGCAGGGTTTTCATCAATTTCCGGATGTTTTGGTTGGTATATTTTGGGAAATTTTCCTATCTTTTATTCCTGCAAAAATTGTTACAACTGAAACAAAAAAAAATAACGAAAATACGACTGAGACTCAAAATAGACCCGGAATTGTCAAATTATAAGTCTGCGTGGTTAGAAAAACAGTATGCACCACCACGAACAACCGGAAATTTATGACAAAATACGGTAATTCTGAAAAAATCCTACAACTAAAAAACCGCTTATAATCATCATCATCCAAGAATTCTCAAGAAAAAATTACATGATTTATCTGGTTATTCTCTGCATGAATGATCACATGCGTAATTCGATAGGTATCCTCGAATAAAAAGGTGCTATCATATCACACCTTTGTTTTCAATGACATCTTTTGTGGATAATCAGTCTCTGACGAACTACCTAATTATTGACTATGATACTGACAATGAGGAGGATGATGATGATGACTATGATGTTTTTCCTACTGCCAATGAATTTATTTCGAATGTTCCCAAAAAGAATAGAAAAAGGGCCCGGAAATGCGTGAAGAAAGGATTCATTTGCTGTTTCAAGACTATAAAATACACTTTTCTCTGTTGTCGTTGTGGTGAGTCACTTTTCTATTATCAGAAACATATTTCTTAAATTCAGTTATTGTTTGGAGATGCCTCTGGTTATTCGTAATACTTCTAATTGGACTCTTTCTATTCACATGCTTCTACTATGACGATGCCCGGAAAATATTTCAGTTTGTGTATATTGTGATTGAGACATCTATTCATTTGTACAAAAGATTAGAGAGTCAAAATAATGAAACTTAAATAACGATTTTCTTGAACTTCTCCAAAATTCTTTTTTGTTAGCTTGAAGCCTACAAAACCTTGCAGATCAATAAACCGTCCCTCTTCCGTTCTTCACTTTCTGCAATAAACTATTCGTTCCACCCGCAAGCCTTTTTCATCTATAAAAAGGGTTGTGTTCGATCGGTAAAAGGTGTTTTATACCGACACTTCAGATGAAGTTGCTCCTTATTTCTACCGTAGTCCTGATCGCGTCGGTTTCTGCCATCGGAAATCTTTACAGTGGCGGTGGAAAACAATGCACTGAATGTCCACCAGGTTACGATTATTACAGTAGACAGCATGATCGAGGATGGTGCATGAAGGTATAACTTAATTTATTGTTTCTTAAACAAAACGGTTTTTTTTCAGTTCTTCCCAGGCAATGTTACTTTCTTTGAAGCCGAGAAAGTTTGCAGATGTCAAGGAGGAGCTACTTTGTCAGGAATCGAAAATACCAAAGAGTTGAAAAAACTCAGCAGTAAGTTTGTGTTCAATAACTAATAGAGATAGACCTGAAAAATTTTAGGAAAAATCAATGAATACTTTGACGAGAACGGAATCAAGTCTGGAGGAATTTGGGTGGGAGCCTACCGCAGAAAAGATTGTCGTGTTCCAAAGAGCGAAAAGAAGGCTGAATGCACCAAGGAGTTCCAATACCAATGGACTGATAGAAGCACGTTCGGAAGAGATATGTGGATTAGTCATTGGACAGAGGGTGCTCCACACAATAATGTTGTTGGGTGAGCGGCAGTTCAATTATAAAGAAACAAGATTATAATTTACAGAAACCATTCTGAATTCTGTGTCCAACTTCAAGTGACTGATCCAACCAAGACGGCTCTCAATGAGCACTTTGATAACAGAATGTGAGATAATGGATCAAGACTTTTCTAAACAAAAAAAAGCATACGATATGTTTTCAGCTGCGTGCACCGAGATGGTTCATCTGCTTTTGAAACCGAAGGATTCATTTGTGGAAGACCCCCAAAGTGTAAGGGAGGTTACAATGGTGGATACAGTGGCGGAGATGGAGTCATTGTCATTGGAGCAGCTAGACCAACCCAAAAACCTTAATTTTGATTTCAGTTTTTTGGAGTAAAATAAAGAACTTATGTGTGAAGTGTTTGAAATTTTGACTCGATAACAAATCAATTGCCTTCCTCATTCTGTGAAAAATAGGCTCCGCGTCACTTCGAAACCGCGACATTTCGAAACTGATGCAGTCCGCAAATAAGGGTACAAAAACCCAATACCTGGAGCAATTAGAACTGCACAACAATATCTTTGAAAACTTATCTAGAATTGATTCCAAGACTTCATGGCTGGTTCATTCTTCCCAATTGAAAATATGCTTTATGAAAGATGGAACATCTTATTTTTTGACTTTTTCAAGATTCTAGTCACGAGTAACTGGATTATGAGAAGCCTCCGAGGTTCGGGAAAGACCCACCTCAATTTACATGACGCTGTTGAAACAATATCACAACTCCCAAATATTCAGACAACAACAAGATAAATAACTGTGTATCTTTATTATGGAAAAAATTGAAGACATTATTGTGGTCTTGCAGCTCCAATCATGATCATATCATTTCCACCACCATATCCACCGTTGCCTCCTCCGTATCCACTGTTGCCTCCTCCATAATTGTTGCCACCTGGAGTCGGTTTCACACCACAAATGAATCCAGCAGCAGACATAATTGGAGAAGATCCGATTGTTTCCAAGCAGTACTTAGCGGCAGTCTTTCCAGAAACATCTGAATTGGCTCCTGACTCCTCTGTAGAGATGAGAATGACACCACAGTCATCACCATCCTTGTTGGTTGGTTGATTGGTTTCCCAGTTTTGGAAAATGGTAGTTTTGCATGTGTTTTGGTCAGTGAATTGGAAGAGCTTCTCTTCTTGGCACAGAGAATTTGTTGACTCTTGTCCAGATGGACACTCTTTGCGTCTGTAGGCACCGATCCAAATAGCTCCGTTCTTCACAGTATCCTCCAATTTAGATTGAGCTTCTTCTGAAAATCAAGATGCTTGTTTTCTGAGGGAAAAGTAGCACTTACGCTCGAGCCATCTTAATTCCTCCATATTCTCAATTCCAGACAAATGTGCTCCCTTGGTAGTACAACGACACTCACGCTCAGCCTCCCACCAGGTCATGTTTCCAGTGAAGACCTGCATTTTGAAGATTTTTTAAAAGAAATGCTCGATCCATATTTTTGATGGAATCGGTGTTTTATGATTAGGAAGATTTTTTGCGATTTCAAAATCCAATTCAATCCATCAAACCAAAATTATAATATGAAAATGCACATCCTTAACTAACCTTTACACACCATGGACCATTACTTCTTGAGGTGAATTTATGGTATCCCGGTGGGCACTGCTCGTTATTACAGTTTTGCACTGGTCTGAACATTGCGCTGACTGCAACAAGAGCCACTGACAGGAGCAAAATATTACGAATCATGACGTGGCAAGTGAAAATGGGAAGAGCTGAAACTTGCTACCTAAAAGATGCTTCGTGATCGTGTTTTATATGACACCCTTCAAGTTTTATTATGACCATCTCACCGGGGTGAGTTTTATTGCAATTTTCCGATTTCTTCCCGGTTTTCGGTGAAGTAAAATTTTGTTTTTTTTCTTCTGTTCAGGTGTTCATGTTTTTAATTAATGAAAGCAAAGAAAATTTTCTCTAAATAATCACAAATCAAGTTTTCATAAATTTCGTAACTTTGGTATATGATCAGGTTCAAATATACTGTTTCGATTCTCAGCCACACAAAAAAAAACTTTGTCATCTCTCAACCCTTGTAATACATTCAGGTGTGAAAATTTGAGAAGGGCAGAGATTACCTCTTTTCGGCTTTGGAAATATATTTAGGTACACAGTTCAATCATGCGGATTTTCGGTGTCAAACTAGTCAGTTACTGTATTGTTCCGTATGTGGAAACTCTTTGTTTTATTGCTTTCAAGTATCATTGGAGATGTGACTGCAGAAACTGTGAATCCGAGGCTAACATTGCTAAATAACTTTTTGAACAACAATAAGAATGCGTTGAAATCCAGTAGAAACGATAGTGAGTCAGGAAAAAATTCAAGATCTATTGATGGTATAATTTTCAGCAGTTCTAACGAAAGCCGTTGCCAGCTCATTGAACTTAACCAGCACCTCAAATGCCTTGCAAGATGAGTCCAGCGCTCAATTGGTACTTTCGGGTATGTCAAATAAATGGTATTTGAATCAAAATATGGGTAAATGGTAATGGACGAATTCTCTCTGCTGTCAGAGTATTAGTTAACGAAACTTAAACAAAACAAACCAGACTGACTGTTTCTGTACTTCATTACATGTATGTTATTCTGAATACTTTGTTGGCTTGAAATTAATACAAATTAGGAAAATAATCAATAGGGGTGAAGTTGAGAACAATTCTGTTAAATACATGCGTTTTTGGTAGTCTGGAATTATGCTTTCAGATGCAACGGCTACGTGTGATTCTGGATGGAAACAATGGAGTGGTAATGGGATGTGTTATAAGGCAAGTTTCCTTTAAAATACTTAGATTTTAACATTTTCCTGTCTCAGATTTCGACTACTGACACGACGTGGTATGCTGCTGAAGATTGGTGTTACAGTCAAAGATCTGGATCTCATCTGACTTCGATTCATAGTCAAGCTGAAGCACAGTGGATTGCAGGTTAGGTGTCTTGCTCAAATCTTGATGAGCTTTATATGATTTTCCTGACTCTGAAAACTGAAGATGAAGAGAAAGATAAACCTCACTACTACAAAATTATGTTACCAATTTCAGCATTTCAGCAACATACATTTCGGGTGGTTGGTTTCCGTACATGGACAATTGGGTGGGATTGAGGAGAAGTGTAAGTGACGCTTCCATATTTTGTCTAATTTCAAAGATCAAACTTCTTCTTATAGTGTGACAACACTACTTACGTTTGGACCGATGGAACTCCAGTCGACTACCTTTGGTGGCAACCTGGCTATCCTGGATCAGGTGATCCAGAGAAAAGTTGTGTAACAATTTGGGTGACCTCGCTGCTCAAACTGAACCCAGCATATACACCTGGGCAGTTTGATGACATTTGGGATTGTGGAACTAACTTGGCTACACCCACATGCAAATATGATCCTACCTCAAGTGTGTTGAAAATTGAAACATGCTTTGTTTTGAAACGTGCAGGATTGTATTTTCAGCCGCTCCTCATATAAAGTATGATACGAGCTACACGTGCGCATCTACAACAACCGTGGCCACGACTACTACTACAGTAACCACCACAACTCCGACCACTACAACTATCACACCAACAACTACTACAACCACGACTCCAACCACCACGACGACAACTCCTACAACCACTACAACCACGCCAACGACTACTACTTCAGTATCTCCCGATAAAAAACTCTGAAACAACTATTGCTTTTCAGACACCGACCACAACGACAACGACTCCATCAACTACTACTACAACGGTTTGTTTTTTTTTGAATGAAGGTCCATTTTGTAGAAGCTTGGCAAACCAAGAATAGTTTGAACAAATGACTATAGAAAATAATTTGATTATAGGAAACGACAACGACTTCGACGACTACAACAACAGTCTGTTCTAAATCTGAAAGAAAATCATCCAATGATTATTTTCTAGACACCGACAAGAACAACTACAACTCCAACCACCACCACTACAATCCCTACAACTACTACAACTGTAACTTTTGGTTTTTCAACAAGTTAATCATGCAAACAGTGTTTTTAGACACCGACAACTACAACAACTACTCCCACAACTACAACCACGACTCCGACAACAACTACTACAACACCGACTACTACAACTACAACTCCAACCACTACCACCACTGTAAGTTCATACTCCATAGAACTACTATAATAAACTTTCCTTTATTTTTAGATACCAACCACAACGACGACTCCAACCACTTCAACAAAAATCACAACTCCGAGTGTTCCAGGAGATTGCTCATCAACTTGTGATCAGTTTTGGGTTGGATACAAAGGAGGATGTTATGGAGTCAGTTAATTCAAAATCAGATGTTGAGAAACTACTAATTTTTCAGATAGTACGAGGAACTGCCAACTTTGAGACAGCTAAATTGGCATGTGAAGCATTTGGAGGAGAAATGGCAGTGATCACAGATTCTGACATGAATGAAGCAATGAGATGTCAGTTTGTGCTTTGAGGGATTAAAATTGAAAATTCGTTTTCCAGTGGCATTCAGTACAAATGACGACAGTGGGATTGCTAATCAGGCATGGATTGGAGCGTCTCCGTATTCAAATTGGGCACCAGGAAAACCAAATAAAGCACAAGGAACACAGTATACAAGTTATTGCAATGTGGTGGGTCCTCTCCTACGTTGGGAGTCCTGAGTTGGATGTTAGTAACCTTATGAATTCAGATGGTACTATCTATTGTGGATGGTGGTCAGGACTTTGGATTTTCTCGCGGAGTTTGGACTGATTATCCATGCGAACTGAATCAAAACTACGTAATTTGTAAACATCTTTAATGAATCATGGACTTTCCTCGGTTGAATTTGTGTTTTAAAAAATTGAGATCCAAATAGTCAACAGAAAATATACATGTTTTTGGCGCGTTGGCAGAATTCAAATATAGCTCCACCCCTATTCAAGTATAGCCCCCAAAATGAACAATAGTTGAGCCCCCCCCCCCCCCCCCACCTCCAACAACCTATACATTTGGAACAGTTCAAATATAGTCCCCCACCCATTCAAATATAGTCCCCCACTTTTAAAGGGTCTAGTCCAATTCAAAATGAGCCCCCCCCCCCCACTTATTCAAATACAGGGTGGCCGATAATGATAGGACGTTTCTAAACGTCTCCCATTTTTTAGAAAAACGTTTTATAACTGTAATAACTTTATCAAAATATTCAAAATATGTAAGAATTTTAGTTTTATAACAAGTTAAATAATATAATTCTACACGCGCTGCATCTCCGCTCCAATCACATAATTTTGTATGGAAGTTTACATGTTAATCCAAGACGCCCGTAAATCTACGAAAGGGGGCATGGGGGTTTTTTTATCAAATCACGTGACTATGTAGGATTTTTGAAAAATTAGCTGATTTTCATAGCCAAAATATTGTTCACGTGACATTTCAAAAAAAAAAGAAACGTAGATCTGCTGTCGTTCGTCGGAAGCAATATAGAGTGGATTCAAATTTGTTCCCCTCCAAAGGAAAAAGGAACATATGAAGATTTCCCCGAGTTTATATTACCCCTAAAACACCCAGCCCTCAAAAGTATTTTCAGCACTTGAATAGTATTCTTCGGGTTTTTTTTCGGTTTTTGATACCCAGTTCTTCCTGAAGTATATTATCGTATAATTTTATAATTTCAATTCAGAAAAAACTCTTTAGTGCCAAGCACCGACATAAAATAGGCTAAGGCAAAAACGGGTTAAAATGTTGAAGATTCTAAACAGAAATAAGCTCAGCACCCTCAACCGGCGGAAACCTAAAAACAGAGAACCCTGAATGTGTGACAAACCCTTGATGCTACTTTGGAAATAATAAATTGAAAATCAAAATTGAAATTCAAAATTTTCAATGAAGATAAGCTAAACAATAAAAGCAAAACACAGAATTCCACAAATAAATTTTCAGAAGGATGAAAAATGCCATAAAATACCCTGAATACCTTTGAAAAACAATATATTTGTATTTTCTCTAATTGAAGCCCATGGGCTTCTATTTTTCAACCTCCTTCTCAGGAAAATACCAAAAACTGAAATCTCCAGAAAATTTTATGAACAGAAAGAAACATTGCAATAACCGAATAAACGAACTGCACTGTACAAACTGCACTAACTGACAAGGGAAGTACCCGAAGTGTTCCCTCGCTTTTTCTCAGATACTGGTGGCAAAAAATGTCCCTTCCTCGGACTAGCACAAAACAGATGATATAAGGTAATAGGCAAGTTGAGCAGAATGGCAAAACTTTTTGTGTTTTTTTCAGAAATAGTGGATCAAGTCCATTCAAAAAATCATAACTTTGTTCAGAGCAAAGATAAAATTATAAACTAACATATTTCTTGTAGAACAGATTACAGGCTACAAAAAACATAACTACACCTTAACTTCCACATACAACATAAAAGCTCTGAGAATGAAAGATTCAGTTGGTTTAGTTTCTTTGAGTTTAAAAAAATTGAGAAAGAAACATTTAAAAAAAGAAGTAGTTATTATCTATTCAAAATAATCGCGCGGATGAACGAGTAAAAAACGTGTAGAGAGTCTCCAAACCTGTAGAGGCGCTGTAGAGACGCAGACGTTTTCACTCGTTCACTCGCGCGATTATTTTGAATAGACAATATTTTTTTGTAGCCTGTAATCTGTTCTACAAGAAACATGTTAGTTTATAATTTTATCTTCGCTCTGAACAAAGTTATGATTTTTTGAATGGACTTGATCCACTATTTCTGAAAAAACACAAAACGTTTTGCCATTCTGCTCAACCTGCCTATTGGCACCTTATATTATCCCTTTTGTGTTTGTTCAGGAAAGGGACATTTTTTGCCACCAATATCTAACGAAAATCGAGGGGACACTTCGAGTACTTCCCTTGTGAGCTGCACAAATTTCTGTTAGAAGGTGGGCTTCTATTAGAGGAAATATGGTATTCCTATTTTTAAATGTTCTTTCGAAATTTTCGGAATTTCGGAATTTTCGGAATATTTAAACATTCGGAATTTCAAAATATTCCGATTTTGAAATTTTCGAAATATCGGAATTTTCGAAAGTTCCAATGTTAAAGTAGAAATTCTATTTTTTCACCACAAGAAAACCAAAAAAGCTGTGAAATAGACAAAAAGACTCTGAAAACGCAAAAAATTGAAGGAATTCTGCCCGCAAGCAATCTTTTCGCGACATACCGTAGTCCAAAAAACTCAATTTTCAAAAAGAAAGCTTCGGAAATATTCTGACCGGAATTTCATTCCCGAAATATTCGGAATTTTTGGAATCCCGAAATCCGTTCCGAAAATCCTTGAATTGGAGTTACGAAATTTATCTTTTTTGACTGAGAAGATCCACAATATAAGGAACCATTAAGTATTTACAACTATCAAATTTATTCACCGTTATCAAAATTTCGAAAAATAATTCTTCGCATTTTCACGTGACGATAATGAGAAGTTATTTATATATCAAAAAACAACTCGAAATTTTGTCGATAGAGTAACGCACTGGTTTACACGCCGGTGTGTCAAACCATCGACCCGAGTTCGATCCTCGCTCGAGGCATCGGATTTTTGGAAGAGAGAAAAAAGTTCGAAAAATCGAAGAAAAACCCCTCATTACCCATTCTGGGGAAAACCATCATGCCCCATTCCGTAGATTTACGGGCGCGTGTTAATCCATCAATCAGCGCAAGCCACGTCAATAATTCGGTCATCCAAAAAAGTCCCCCGCTGATTGATGGAGGATCACGTAAACGCTCCCTACTGAAATCATGTCTATTGGAGCGAAGACACATCAAATCTAGAGACAATACACTCAAATACATTTTTCATATGTTGTTTGCGGATCGCATGGAAGTTGGATGTTTCTTCACCTGGCCGGACACCTTATGCATCATTGGACCTATCGGCTCATCGTATGTTTATTACTGAAAACCTGATTTTTCGAAAATTTAGAAAAACAAATATTTCCGTGAAACAAATATATTTTATGCGGATTTTCGTATATGTTTCCAAGTACTGAAAGTACTTTAAATGAACAATTTTCTTTCTAGGGAGACTTTTCCGAGCATCTGATTCCAGGCAAGGTGAAAATTAGGTGAAAATGTATTTTAAAATCTTCAAAAAAATTAGGAAAAAATTCACGTAAAATTTAAACATTTCTCCATACTTATTTCTCCATAACATTTCTCCATACTGGCCGGCCCGGGCCGGTCTTTTATCCAAATTTCGGAGGTCCGGCCCGGCGGGCCCGTCATCTCATAAGTTTTCAAATTTTCAAAAAAAAAAAAAACTGGAAAAATTATATCGAGGGCTCAAAATTTGCCTCAAAACAACAAAATTTTTGATACCGGGCCTTCCGGGCCGGGCCTTGGCCGGCTGGCCCGGAATTTTACAAGTATACATTTCTCCGGAAATTATGTTTTTCTATAAGTTCAAAAATAATAAAAACAACCACTCAACACATTATTTTTCAATTGAAAAATCGCCTAAAAATTGAAAAATTAAGTGCCCAATATCAACTGTTTTTCACGTTTTTTTTTCAGCTTGTCATGATATATGGTTCGAGTTGCCTCTCTACCTTTTTTTGAAAATTATCCAGATAATATTAAAGGGCAATAAGAGAATGAAAATGTTTTGGCTTGACCAGCATAGTTTTTTTTAAATATTAATATATTGCAGAGGCTCTACGGGGTACCTATATAAATATAAAGCCTCGAAGAACCCGGAGATCACATGTGCGGAAACGGAATGTAAATACGGATGTAAAAGTGTTTTGTGTCTTCCATCACCAGACTACTTCTTTGCGATGCGAAAAAAGTACAAGAAACATCTGAAACCGAAAATTGAAAAGTTTGAAGTGGTGGAAGGTTTCGACGGTAACCAGCCAGTATTGGGACACAACTTCAAGATCGACTCTGCCAACCGCACCTTCTTCACTATCACTTTCATTCTAACACTTTTATCCATTCTTATTCATAATTAATTGCAATAATCAAGTCGCAGGATAATAAAGTAAAATAAAAGTGGTTTAGTAACAGGGCTGGGCGAGCAATCGGCTTTAGTCGGAAACGAATTGCAAAACACGCGCAAAACGAGATAAGGCGCACGCAAGTTTGCCGATGTGTCTGGACAGGTAAAAAATGGCGTGGAAAATAAATTTTGAATTTTGAACAATTTTATTAAAAATCGCTTTAAAAATTCAAAATTTATTTTTTACGTGTCGAGACCCGCCGGCGAAATTGCGTGCGCCTTTAATCTCGTTTTGCAAAACAAGGGCGGAAAATTTGCAAAACGTGAAGGTTTTTCTCCCTTCCTCGCCCACCCCTGTTTAGTAACGTAATGAAAACACACGGCGAATAATAAATGTTGAAAGAATGTTGTTGCTCCAAAAACATTTTAGGATGTCTATCAAATTTCCCAGTTTTCCAGTTTTTAGGGTACAAATCCAGTACAAAATTCGTGTGTTATTTAAATTTTCGTACCGTTGAGAGGATCCACCAAGTTGGGACCCACTTTGAAACAAACATTCAATTCAGCAAAACTAAAAATACTACTCACGGATTTTTTTTTAGTTTCCCTTTCTTACCTCAAAATTTATTTTCCAGGAAGGTCTGCAAAATAGAAAAGGAGTGGGAAACTTGAAGAAAACTCATAGAAAAGACTAGCAAATAAGAAAAAGAAGAATTTGCAGTTACTAAAAAAATTAACTAACTTTTAAAACAACTAGACTCTCAATAAATTCTTTTCTCCAATTTATCGCTCCTACATTCTTGTAGTTCTGATTATTGTTATTTTCGTTCGGTTTGTGCAGCAACAACATGATCATTTTCCGGAATATTTTTTACGGAAACGAAACCTTTCATGTCTTTCCACGAAAACGGAAAACATTTTAAAACCTCTCGAAAAAAAAAAAAAGAAAAAAAAAAAAAAAAAAAAAAAAAAAAAGAAAACTGACTTCAAAAACTTCAAAATTTGAAAACCATATACATCTCAAATACGTATGTTGTAGAAATACTTTGGTCAATTGATCCTTCGGTATTTACTCAAGTTTATGCGCCGCTCGCCTTTAAATCATTTCAATCCTCCAGAGGATTACGTTCGTTTTGATCTCCCTTTTCCCGCAAACCCACAGTTCGTACTTGGAAGCAAAAAATGAAAAATGGATGGTTTTTCTTCCTCGTTGCCAAAGTTCTATTTATTGGTGTTTTTGGAAATAATAAGAAAGTAGGTAAGATGAATCGTACCTTTTTTATTTTTGCTGTAATTCGTTAACATTCAGATAACATTGCTGTTCGACAAATTTTGGTTTCAAATTTTGTCGCTGATAATCGGGAAGTTTTGAAACAATCCGATGGTTCTGATGAACGATATCTTTTCAAGGCTATGAATCAAAATTCTTTGATTCCGCCCGAAAGTAGTAGCTCACTACAAGACGAGAGTCAGAAAGGTCCATTAGTACTTTCCGATGCAATCGGAACAGCAAAGTGTGCGTCCGGGTGGATCAGATGGGAGGGAAATGGGTGTTGTTACAAGGAAATGGGATCTCCTACGCTTTCTTGGTATGCATCGGAAGATTGGTGCTGGAACCAGAGAGCAGGTGCACATTTGGCTTCTGTTCATAGCCAAGCTGAAGCTGTGTGGTTGAACTGTAAGTCTTCAAAGTTTTAACGAAAACTTGAAAAATAGTTTTATTCGAAATACCTTTCCAGATCAGTACAAAGTTTGGTACTCAAAAATGGACGACTGGATTGGATTGAGACGAAATGTAAATTTTAATATCCTAACTTTTTCAAAAAAATCATTCAGTGCGACAACACAGCTTGGGAATGGACAGATGGAACACCTGTTGATTTTCTTTGGTGGCAACCAAATTATCCAATCTATGGAGGAATCGAAGATAGTTGTACTGCGGTGAATTAAACTCATAATAATTTTTTAACTCATTAAGAATTTCAGATGTGGGACTCAACATTGTTGCGTGGAATGTATGGATTTTTACCCGGACAGATGGATGATGGAAGATCGTGTAATGGAGGCTTAGCATGGGCGTTG